CAGTAGATATGTATTTTTTTTTTTGATGCTGGAAGGTCAGTCCCTAAGACAGTCAACTGTCTCAAAGAATGAAAAGCAAAAATCCATGTGTCTGCCTGACAATGAGTTCCATTTGCAATGTAATCTGCATTTCTACAAATACTCAATGTCCAAGGCCACTAGAGACTGAAAAACCAGGGCAGCATCTTCCAGCAAGAGTCAGGGCAAAACCCGAGTCAGATTTCCACCCTCGGCCCAAACTTGGAGGCTCAAAGGCTGGGTGCAAGAAATGGTGTCTCACTGTCCCCATCCCCACACTGTGCTGGCAGCTTGGATCCAGGGCACGGGTCTGCCTCTTCCTGAGCCTCAGGACAGGCTACTGCCAGGTTTGCTCGCCTCCTCTGACCAAAGGCAAGAAGAGCAGGCAGGAACTGGCATGAGAAGACTCAGTGCTTCCTCTGAGTTTCAAGTACGTCTGAGGTGTCGGGGTGAGAGTGTGTGTACACTCACATGGGCACGTATGAAGGGGAAGGCCAGATTTGGAGGCTCTGAGCTTTGCAGGGTGTTGAAAATAGACTCAGGACTTATTTATTTTCTTTTAGCTTTATAGCAATTAATTGGCTATTGATTGGTTGGAATGTTCAACTCTCCATTTCCTCAAATACAATAAAATAGTTTCATTAAAATGTATTCATGCTTGAAAATAAGGGAGCCATTAAATGGTTTCCTTTCTGTTCCACTCCAAGGGAAATGCACTGTTTGTAAATCAACAATCCATCATCCAAAATCACTTGTTCTTTACGGTGCTTTTGGAGAAGATGGGGGATGTGGCCACGAGGGTGGCGACCGTGGGGATAAGAGCAGCGCTGGGGCTGCAGTGGGTGGGCCCAGGCTGGGACGAGTGAGGCTGTAGGGCCTCCTCCAGCCAGTCCTGAGTCTGGGAGGAGGGCCCCCAACTCCCAAGGAGTCCCTCCCTGCCATGCTCAGCATTGCCAAAGCTGAGGGGCAGAATTCCTGCCCTTTCCCTCTGGCCCAGAGGCCAAATATACCACCTGAGACCAACTCCCTTTTAGAATTCATCAAGATTCCCTCAATAAATGGATAAGCAGCTGCATTTTCTCCTCATGTGGCCAGGAGTCTTAGGATGTGGGAAGAACAGACTTACTGAATGGTAGTTCTGTTTACCCTTGGGGGTGAGCTAACAGAACCCCTGGGAACATGTGGATTGAAACTCTAGAATGGTAGGGATGTCACCCCGAGGTCCCCTTTGATTGGGGGGGGGTGGAGTCCAGGAACGGGACCCCGTGTTGAGAAATTACAGCGAATGAAAGATCAGCTGGTGCCTGCCTGCTCCCGGCAAGAAGCGCCCTGTCAGAGAGGCTGCAGCCCCCTCGTCAGGAGAGCGGGCTGGCAGGGGACTTGCTCCCGGTCGGCCCCCTGGGACCTGGCCGCCACTTTGGAGGCGCAGCCTTGCTGACAGTGGGGAAGGCGGATCAACACCGCAGCCCCACCATGAATATGCAAGAGGGAATCCTGAGTTTCGGGGACAACAAGGGACAAGGGGCCGAAGGGGCTGCCGGGAGGTGGGGCAGAATGCAGGCTAGGAGTCATGGCCTGACTGTCCAACTTTTCAGTAATGTATTTTGTTACCTTTTAAGAAATGCGCTTGCCTTGGACCTCTCCGAGGCCCAAAGAACTAAAGGAATGCATTCTCTAGCAGTACCAGTGTGCGTGCCTGGAAACCATCAGTGGTGGGCTCCTGGGCTGGTGAGGCCAAGGCCGCAGGGCCGCCTCTTAGCAGGAACGTCAGGGAGCTGGTCTCTCCTGCAGGGCTGTGGATCCACCCATGCTAGCCTGGCCCTGGCCAGTCCAGGTGCCTGGATTCTTCTTTACCCTTGTGGCAGCTGTGTCTCAGACCTAGCTCGTTTCCAGGTATTTGTCAGGAGTGCTTGGTTTGTTTTCAACGTTTGCTCTTCACGGCTTGGAGCTAAATTCTAACTGGAGTATCACCCAGAAGAGGGTGGCTGGAGCCAGAGGCTGCCACGGCAGGGCATTAGCTCAGGGATGTGACTTCTCGTAAAGAGATTTCATCCTCAGCTCCCCTGTGGCCACATCTGGGGTGCTTCCCTGGACCTGTGAAAGACCCTGGCAGCACTGACCTCCCCTCAAAGCCAACAGTCCCCTGTCCCGACCACATCCCGTGGTCTACCCCTCCCGCCTGCAAAGCCCACACAGCCTTCGAGAGCCGGGAGTGTGGGAAGGACAGGGTAGGTCCTGCGGGGGCCTGTTCCTGCTGCTGACTTGCTGAGCCTCCTCTCTGAGCTCCGTCTCCCTCGATGTCCTTCATCTGCAATGAAGGACAAGGAGGTGAAGAGGAAGGGAGGCACTGATTAAAGACTGGGGGGCTCACAAGCTGGTGACCCATGGGTCAAACTTCACCCAGACAGAGCATTTTAAAGTTCTCACACTTGAATGCCATTGGGTCAGGCAAGCACCCACCAGCTAGGATGCCTCTGCCCTGGAGAAGGGACATGGTCACCCCACCTGCCCGGCCCAGGAAGCAGCTGCTCCAGGGCCCTTGAGATGGTGACAGTTGCTTCCCGAGGCTGCAGGCACCCCTAATGGTCCAAATCTGGGGACTACTGCATATTGTCACAGCCAGGTTTGGAGTCTGTTCCATAAGAAGGATGAAGAAAAGAGGAGTGTGGGGACATCTCTCCTGACACTGGCGCCCGGGGCCCTGAGAGTCAGAGCCGGGCCCACGTGCAGGGCCCTGACAGGCCTTGGGTGAGTTCCCATGCCCGCTGAGTCTCAGGCACAGCAGGGAAGGAATAGGGATGAAACCTCAGAAGTGTTGGCGTGGATCTGGCAAAGACCTTGCATTTTTTCAGTGTTAATGGGAATCAAGTTGGACCAGCAAAGTCACCAACACCCTCCACCAAGCCAGCCTCCGAGTCACTGTTTTTTCTTTCCTCACTGCAGGTCTTGGGGTTTCTAGGAGACTGAAGGGTATTTCTAAGCCAAACATTCCCATGACAGGAGCATGAATCTGAAGAGAGAATGAAGCTGGGAAATCTGAGCATTCTCTTCACCTCTGTCTTGCCATGTAAGCCTCTCACTTTTCCCATCTATAAAATTGTGATCTTTGCCCCAAGGGATGGTCAAGGATTGCAAAGCACCATACAAACATCAGTTATGAAAGGGCGAACCCTAACTAAGGCGCCTTGGGAAAGGGATGTGGATTTGATATGTCATCAGATTTTTCTAGGTTGCAGATAGAGTGATGATATGAAAATTTTTTGTAAAATCTACAATGTCCTTTTCAAAAAGGGCTGGAACACAGCGCCGAAGGCCCACGGAGCAACGCCCCCAGCCTCCTGCCACGATGCTGGTGAAAGCCCTGGCCTTGTGTTTTCCATTCAGAATTCTCTGGCACCTACTCAACGGCTTGTGTCCTCCGGAACCTTCCACTCCAAAAGCTCCTCGGCAGCTCTGCAGGCAGCATGGGAGCTCCGTGGGTGAGATCAGGTCCACGTGTGGGACATGCATGTGCCTGCACGTACGCCTGTGCTTCTGCCTGGCAGCCCAGGAGCCAAGTGCTTGTCTAATCAACACAGATGCAATCTGAGGACTCCAGAGGCGCGAGGCGGGAAAGGCATGGAGGGGGCTCATCACAGGTCAGGGGGAGGAGCAGGATGGGGAGAGGGGTACACTTGGGGCCAGGTGGGCTTTGGTGAGAAAGGATAGTGTGCGCTTAGGCAGCCAGTTCAGGGAAACGTGACCTCCTCCCAACAGCCTGAGACCACAGGAGCGTCAGGATCCAAGGTGTGGGTGTCAGAGGCCAAGAGGCCTGTGCTGCAGACCCCAGACTCCACCACTTTCTCTGGCAGGGAGGGAAGGTGGGAGGGTCCCGGTGACATACCTGCTCCTGTCCTGCCTGGCAGATGGAGGTGCGAGCCGGTTCATCTGGGCTCCTGGAGGTGGGCACTGGCCCAAGCTGCCTCCTTTCTTTGCACAGCAGGTTTCAGGATGGGAGGTGTGCCCGCGGTGAGCCCACTGGGGCCACCTCTGCCCTGGGGACTGGGCTTTCTTGGCGGTTCTAACAGCCCCAGGATACACTGTCTGAGGAGGTGGCCCAGAACCGTCTCCTGCGCCCTCACCATCAACTTCCCGCCCCAGGGAAGGAGGATCACTACAAGCAAGAGTCAGGGGGCTGAGCCCAAGCCCCATCTTCACCAGTCGCTGCCTGGGGACTCCACCTTGCCGAGCCTCGGTTTCCCCTTCTATTCTCCCACCTTATAGGGGTATTGTGGTGGCGGGGGGGACATGTGGTGGTGGTCAGAGAAGGTCTGCTCTGTCTCCCTGCCTGGTCCTAGGTCTCCCCGAGCGAGGCTTCAGTTTCCCCTGAGGGGAGCTGACTTACGCCTTCCTCAAAGCTGATTTTCACCCCTCTAGGTGTTCTTTTTTTAAAAACTTGGTCCAAATATTAGCAGGACTCAGGTGCCCCAGTCTTCCTGCTCAGAAGTGGAGGGCCTGCCCCAGATGCCCCTGTCATAGCCCCGGCAAACGGGCAGAGGAAGTAAGGGAGGGAGAGAGAGCTGTCGGGTCGTCCTGCGGGGGAGCCCTGCTGGGCCAAGGCAGCCGAGGCTCAGAGAGGTGAAAGGTCTTGCCTGAGGACCCACAGAACGGCAGGCTAAGGTACAGCCAGGACAAGGCCTCTTGGGCCTGATGACATCAAGCATGGCGCTCTCCACCCCAGCTCCTGGCCAGCCTGGTGACATGCAGACATCGGGCACATTGTCACAGGGGATGGCCAGGTCCACTGTCACGGCCATCATTCAGTCCAGATTTGGATGACGCCTCTCCCCGGCTGTTCTGAGTGGGCAAGAGATAGTATGCAAGGAATAGAGGCCCAAGGCAAAGAGATGGTGGCCCCTGGTACCTCCATTTCAAAACCACTCCCAGTTCACACACTAGTTCCTCACTGCCTGTCCCTTGTGGTGGTGGTCAGAGAAGGTCTGCTCTGTCTCCCTGCCTGGTCCTAGGTCTCCCCGAGCGAGGCTTCAGTTTCCCCTGAGGGGAGCTGACTTACGCCTTCCTCAAAGCTGATTTTCACCCCTCTAGGTGTTCTTTTTTTAAAAACTTGGTCCAAATATTAGCAGGACTCAGGTGCCCCCGTCTTCCTGCTCAGAAGTGGAGGGCCTGCCCCAGATGCCCCTGTCATAGCCCCGGCAAACGGGCAGAGGAAGTAAGGGAGGGAGAGAGAGCTGTCGGGTCGTCCTGCGGGGGAGCCCTGCTGGGCCAAGGCAGCCGAGGCTCAGAGAGGTGAAAGGTCTTGCCTGAGGACCCACAGCACGGCAGGCTAAGGTACAGCCAGGACAAGGCCTCTTGGGCCTGATGACATCAAGCATGGCGCTCTCCACCCCAGCTCCTGGCCAGCCTGGTGACATGCAGACATCGGGCACATTGTCACAGGGGATGGCCAGGTCCACTGTCACGGCCATCATTCAGTCCAGATTTGGATGACGCCTCTCCCCGGCTGTTCTGAGTGGGCAAGAGATAGTATGCAAGGAATAGAGGCCCAAGGCAAAGAGATGGTGGCCCCTGGTACCTCCATTTCAAAACCACTCCCAGTTCACACACTAGTTCCTCACTGCCTGTCCCATTCTAGGAAGCTTTCCTCTGCTCCCCAGATCCTCCCAGGTCGCTTTTTCTGACCACTCCAGCCCACAGTGAGTTCTCCCAACTCCCACTCCAGGCTACCAAGGCCCTCGGCCATGGCCTGACCATCACAGCCCCTTGTATCAGCAGGTAGGTACCCACGATGCAAAGAAGGCATCCGCCCCTACCCGAGCACCTTGGTTCCCAGCTGCATAGTAGGCTCAATGAGATGGAGAGGGGCTGCTCAGGAAGTTCTGGCTGACAGATGAAGGTGTTTGTGGTCCTTGGTCCAGACAAAGTCCTTTCTGTTAATCACTGTCTACGTGGCAGGGACAGGCTTGCCCTGAATCCACTCTCTGGCATCTTGGAAGGTGGGAGAAGTGTCCGTGGTGGGTGTCCAATGTGATTTGAGCCTGGGCGCACCTTAGTAAACACATCCCAGTTCAGTTCTGTGGTCCAGGGGCAGGGGGTCTGGAGAGCCTCATGCTTCGCCTTGGACCATCATCTTCTGGGTCTCGTCCGGCCCTAACGTTCCAAGTCCACAATGCAATTGGTGTCTTGGATGCCATCTCACTTTAGAACAGTAGCTGAGGAATCTCCTAGACAGTTCTCTTGTGAGTCCTTTGATACAGAAAAGAGCTGCTTGCACTGCATTGGGCCCAGGGAAATGGGGGCAGGAAGCCAGGAAGGGGTCTTGGGGGGAGGGGGGTGCTTAGAGCAAAACCAACCCAATGAGACTCTTAGTCCAGATATTAAAGAAGTAGCATGAGTGGAGACTGGGGTCAGGAGGTGGGCATCCTTAGTCTTAAGGGCACCTCCAAACCCACCTTTGGGGGGTACCCAGGGCAGAACGGTGGCTCTGTGCACAGGTCCAAGTCCTCCTGTGACACTTCCAGAATGCTGGATGCAAAATGGGTGGGCAGTCTGCTCAGCTGGACCCTCAGGCCCACAAAAAAAGCAAGAAGGTATTTACATGGGTGCTGTTGAAGCAACGAAAGCAAACTTCCCCTTCCAGGCCTGGGGCAGGAAGAGAGGTGGATGGTCAGACAGCTCGGGTGTGGGGGTGTGGGGGGGTGCTGTCAGGCTGCGCTGGGGCTGTGGTTGTCTGCAGAACAGTCTGTCGGTTTGCAGTCACCACCGGGAGAAGCTCATAAGTTGACCTTAGAAATGGACAGGTGTCTAGAAGTCCAATAGCTCTATCATAGACCCTGGAGTCCCTGGCAAGAAATGCGGGAGGGGGTTTCTGGCGAGTGGGGGGTTGCTGGGGGGGATGGTCTCACTGGGCCCCTCTGGCTGTGTCTGGAGGGGGCTGGGAGGCTATGGCCTTCAGTGATATGTGTCAAAGATGCTTGGCGCCTGCCTGGCTCTGGGGGTCAGTGGCGGTCGTAGGCAGTGGCAGCTGTGGGCGGGGCGGCTCCTCTGGCGGCAGCAGCGCTGTAATAGTATGGGGAGCCTGGAAGAGACAGGAGAGGCCGCAGAGTTGGAGGGGGACCTCGCACCCCGAGCTCTGTACCCGGGTCCCTTTCCACCCGCGTCCGCTACCTCTGTCCCTTCCTCTCGCTCTCCCAGTCCAGACCACTGTCCTCTCTCACCAACATCTTGGTCCCTCCTCAGGCCACTGCCTGCCTATAGGTTTCAGGGCCTCCTCGCCAGCTAGAGCTGGGGCGGGCAGCCTGGGGCCGATCCCCACCCCCGACTCGGTAATTCATGCTTTACTGGGACCCGGCCTTGGCCTGCTGTTTCTGCGTTGTCTGTGGTGCTCTCAGGCTGCTGCCGCGGAGCTGAGTGTTACATCAGAGCCCACATGGCCTGCGGAGGCTGACATATTCACTCGCAGGTCCTTTACAGGGAAAGCGTGCTTTATGGGAAAAGATTTCTGGCCAGGAACATGAAAAGTCATTACTTCTTAGTTTGGCCCGTGGAAGCTTGGTGACCTAGCCCTGCCAACCTCTGAACTTCCCTCCACACCACCACCCTCCTGCTCACACTCAGGCACCCCGCTCCTGCAGAATCCAATTCCACAACCCTCTCAAACACACCAGAGTGCTGGTGACCGCTACCGCGGGGGGAGCACTTGCCTCCCACCCTGCCACGTCCTTTACACATGTTGTCTCACTTAACCCACGGGGCAGGTGGCGTTAGCCCATTTCATCATACTCCCGTGCCTCTGCGCCTTTGCCATGCTCTGCCTGCTGCCTGGAACAGCCTGGCTGCACCTCACACCCGCTTCCCTGTCTGCTGCATAGCGCTGCTTCCTTCAAGTCCCCGAGTCCCTGTCTCCTCCTCTGGGACACCCCCTTTCCTGAGCCTATGCCCTGCTGCAGGCTGGACCACATCCTCTGATCACTTCCTTCTCTCCGTCTCCCCCCTTCCCCTGGATGGAGAGTCCCACAAAGGGGCTGGGATCTGCTGTGCTCCGTGTTCACTCTCAGCCCCCAGCCTGGGGCCCAGCACGTGCTGCGTGCTCATCTGGGTTGGCTGAGAAAATGAGCAATAGCGCTGAGTGAACCAGCAATAGTAAAGACTCTGCCCATTCATTCGTTTATTTTTCCGACCCCACTGGCTGCGGTGCTGGGCAATAATGAACAAACGCAGGCCAATGCTCAGAATCAAGAGGGGATCAGAGCTCTGAGAACAGAGCTCTGGGAATGCGAGATTATCCTGGCAGAGTCAGGCTCTTCCTAGAGGAAGCAGGTTGGGTTGAGCTTGGGGGATGTGGAGGTTTGTGTATGTGAATACATGGGAGGAGGGAAGGGTATGGCCCTGCTTCCTGTGACCTCCGGACAGAGCCAGCGTGGGGTCTCCTGTTTTGATGCTGGGTTCTTCCCACTGTCTCTGGGCTGCTATCTTTGATGACATGCTTTGGATGAGGCCTCCAGGAGCCCTGCTCTGTGCTCAAACTTCTCCCCAGCGACGAAAGCATCTGAGGATTCTCAGGGGGACAAGCAGATTCTCAGAGCCATGGGAGTTAGAGACACTGGGCCATCCCCTCCTTTTATGGGTGAGGGTGGGGGTGGTGGAACTGAGGCTCAACAAACCAAAGTCATGTGTCCAAAGCTACAGAGCCTGGCCTGGAATTCTGGATGTCAGTCCTGGATCAGGACTCTTTGGGCCATGATGCAGTTCACCGCCTATACAGTCATTTTGGAGAGCTGCGTTTATCCAAGTGGCTAGCAGCTGGGGTCCCACCAGCCACTGCAGACCATGTGTCTGCTGGGGTAGGAACAGTAAGCTTCTTAATTCCCCAGGGGAGGTGGCTCATTCTGAAATCTCACCCAAATCTAAACCAGTCCTGGCAACTCTCCCAGATTCCATGACTGGGCACTAAGGCCTGGAGATTGCCATTCAGGCTCTATCATTCCTGGTTGAGTGACCCTGGACAAGTGGCTTCACTTCTTGAGCCTCAGTTTTCTCCTTTGTAAAAGGAGGTCACAGGGGGTGCTGTATGAGGGCACCCACGAGGTAAAGATGTGAAGGTGCTTTGGAAATTGGCACTTTTCTAAGCCCTGTATATCCTTTAACTCTTGTAATCTCCACAACAGTTCTATCAGGTAGGCACTAGTATTGCCCTGATTTAGCAGACAAGGAAACTGAGGCACGGAGAGAATAAGGAGTTTGCCCACGGTCACCCTGCTAGTGACCATACAATCAAGAGGACAGGACTGACCTTTGCTACCAGCCCTCCAAACCCAGCCCTAGTTGGTGGACATAATTCTCCCTCCTGGCCCCCCGGGAGGGCAGTATGGCTCAGGTGGTAGTGACAGTGGGGGAGTAGTCAGTGCTGGAAGGCACGGGCACTGGCGCCAGGCCGGAATATTCCCAGAGGTGGGTTTTTCTGCTGCCTCCTGCCACCGCCCTGGTTGGACTCTTGCCTCAGGTGTCTGTCAGCCTTCTCTGCTCTCTCTTCTGTGCAATGGGGCCAGCCACCCCCAGAGCATCTGCAATGCCAGCCTTGCACCCTCCCTTCAGGGCCCAGGTGAGAGGGGGGTGTGTGTGTGTGAGGTAAAGGCCAGCCCCACAAGCCCAGGCCTGGCACAGAGTCAGGGAAGTCACAGGGGCTGCCCACAGAAATGAGGGACAGGACATCCTGGCTCGGCCCTCCGAGCTTCCCTGGAGCAGCTCTCACCCTGGGCTCTGACTCTCTCCCCTCTCAGAGCCTAATCTCTTGGCCAGGCCGTCCAGCGGCCCCAGTGTGAGGGCCCCATGGCAAAATCAAAGAACGCCTGCATTTACCGTGAGAAATGAAAACATCACCTCACAAAGCGCTCTGTCTTCCTGGTGCCCATTAGACCTCTGTCTAGAATAAACTTGTCCTTTCTTCTGTCATTTTTCGTCTCTAATTCACATTATCATCAATTTACTTCTTGACACAGTCATTCCGGGCTCCTACTCGCTCTCTAATCCCCTTACAGCGGCCACAGGCGCTCCGGTTCTAATCCTAATTGACCGCAGCGGCCTTTCTTCCTGCCGCTAGCCCGCCACCCCGCCTGCCTGGGGCCCCAACGGGATGCCGAATCCTGGCCTTCCTGGCTGGGCCTGGCGCGGGGAGCCCGCGGGCAGCTCCCAGGAAGGAGCGAGAAGAGAGCCTCAATAGGTGGCATCACCTGTCCTCACTTTGGCGGTGTGTCCCTGAACAAGGCTCCCTTCCGCCAGACCGGCTGAGGTGTGGGCAGGGTGTGTGAGAGTCTTCCTGTTTCCACAGCTCCCCTTGTGGTGCAGAAAAGCCTTGGAGCAGAGTCCCCCGACACCCTCCCTAAGCAGCAGAAATGGCAGGTCTACTTCTCTAGCCCGGAGGGTTTCCTCCAGCTGAAGCCCTGAAGACCCTGGGGGAAGGGCAGGCTGGTGGAGGGGAGCAAGCCTGGAACTCACCACTTAGGGCAGAGCAACACACGGCAGGGTTTCCCAGGTGGCCCTAGCGGTAAAGAAGCTGCCAGCCAGTGCAAGAGCTGTAAGGGGCACGGGTTTGATCCCTGGGTCGGGACGATCCCCTAGAGCAGGACATGGCAACCCACTCCAGTATTCTTGCCGGGAGCATCCCATGGACAAAAGAGCCTGGCAGGCTATAGTCCATGGGCTGCAGAGAGTCTGAGAGCATGCATGCATGGCAGAACAAACTTGGCGTCTCCCTCGTCTTCAGGAAAGTGAGGTCACTGCATTCGGGGTCTCGGGAGAGCATCATGACCAGCTCGCGCTTGAATGATGCTGCTGGTGGCCGTTATCTTCCTTTTACACCTGAGGCAACCGAGGCCCCGCTTGGTGATGACCTGACTAAGACTCCCCGGGCTACAGACTTGGGCAGTACAAGGGCCATTTCTCATGTTGGTAACAGCCCAACACTGTTCACACGTTTCTTGTGTTTCCAGAATTTTCTGGTGTGAGCCCCTGCTGGGAGTGGGTGCAGAGGCGCCCCGCTCTGGGTGGTGACAGGACAAAGCTCCCAAACACCTGGTCGAAGCAGCAACACAAAGCAGACTGCCCGTCGGCGCCAACAGCAGGGTGTTTGTGCTGGAGCATCCCGAGCACGCTCCTGGCTGGAGTCCCACCCATCTCTCTGATCTTCCTAGAGATTCGGGGAGCCCCCACTATTCCATAATAAATTCACTTTCTGCTTAAACTAGTGAGGGTGGAGTCTCGTTTGCAACTAAAAGCCTGACAGATAAAGTAACCCGGCTTTCAGAAACAGACCAGCATTGTTCTCCTGGTGTACAAGGACTGAGTTATTTGGGACTCTCGGGCTTATTCCTATGGAGAGATAAGCCTCTTTTTCTGGTTGTAGTTCTGTTCAGATTGAATTGGTCAGGAAGAGTCAAAGTACCACATCACACACTGACTATTAATACAGGCTCTAGAATCAGGGTGACCTGAGTTTGAGTCCTCATTCTGCTACCTGCATGCTGTGTGACCTCAAGTAAGTTAATTAACCTTTCTGAGCCTCACTCTCTTCATTGGTAAAGATAATCCTATATGCTGTCTAGGGGATAGGATACTTGATAGGATAAAATGAGGGTAAGATAAAAACCCACATGTTTTGCCCAGTACCTGAACAATTAGCAAGTGCTCACTTGGATGAACAGAGTTTTGATTCTTTTTCTGTTCTCCACGATGGTTCTGGCACTCCTCAAGGCCCTGAGCACATCCTAGCACAGGCTTTCTCATCGCAGCACAACTGCCTAAGGCTCTCTCCCCCGCAGGCTGTGAGCTCTTTAGGACAGAGGCCACAACATTTCCATACCGGACACACAGCCCACACGTAGAATTGCGCATGTCAACTGGATCTCACTCTATCTTGAGCAGCAAAGGCCTTGGATGCAGTCTAGCCCCACCCCTTTGACATCCCCTAGGGCTCCTAGCTGCCCACACAATCAGGTGCAGACGTCTCAGTCTGGCATTCAGGGTCCCCCACCTCCTACTCTATGCCATGGCTACGCTTGCCTGAGCAGCTCCTTTCTCACTTCTCTCATTCTGGAACTTGCAGGCAAATGAGCCTATTGGACACCTCAAAAAATTAGAAAAAGGCAGCCATACCCCTGTGCTGGGGCTCAGGGCTCTGTGCCGCGCATGGGCTTGCTTTCAGCCCCCACCTGTCCCCGTGGGCAGTGCACGGCCATACGTGGAGACCCTAGGTCAACATGGCCTCACTGATGTCACGTCCCCATCACAAGGAATTCCTCCTACGGTCTGACCCAGGCCTCCTTTGTGCCACGTCCCCTGTGGGTCTGTCAGAAGCGCTGGGACCAGAGCCCTGTACGAGGTCGATTTGCAGGGAACAGCTCCCAAGCTCAGGCTCCAGACCCACCCCCGACCCTATCCCTGCTGAAAGGCTGTTTCAGGGTCAGCATTTGCCTCCTGAGACTAAGTGGGCCAACTCAGAACCCAGACCTCTCAGGAGGGCTTGTTTAAGGAAAAGCATAAGGTAAGCAGAGACCTGGTTCAATACTTAGAAGTAATTTTTACCAAAGCCAAAAAATAAGTCTAAGCCATCAGTCCACAGATTCAGCCCCTGCAGGAAGTCATAGAAGGTAAGAGCCCGGTCTTCTATATAATGAAATCTGCAGGCACAGGTCTGGAGCACTAGCTGGCATTGTTCCTTATTTCACCTGAAGTTTTGCATGATACATTTTCAAAATGCTTTGGGCAGTCCAATGCTCAAACGCATGGAAGAACGGCAGCCAGGAAGGGACAGCGTCTGCGTCATTGTCTGTCCTAGTCACCAAAGCACGTTGGGGAAGGGGCCAAGGCTGTGACTTCATGGCCTCCTCTGCAGACCCATGCCTGGCAACTTGAGTTTGAAGACATCAGGTTCTTGCCTTTTTGACGAAGTCTACGATTCTCAGTGCTTAAATAATTCAGAGGATCCAGGGAATTAACAGGTTCGTACTTAAGTAAGCCTTGCTAAGCTGTGTAGACAAACCTGGATGGTCTCAGAGGCCCTTCCGCATCTGACCTTAGTGGAAATTACTCAGCTGATTGCTGGGGAGGGATCCATGTTGCTGCCTGGAGGCTGATGGGCTAACTCCACCCCCAGGGTGATTGACATCTGTGAGGGGGACCCTTGCCTCATGCTCCAAAACCTTCAGCTCCAGCTTGGACTCACCAGCTGGTTTCATGTCAGTTCACTGCAGCAAAATAACGGGCTCCCCTTGGCCTTCTAAGACAGCCCTGTGGGGTGGCTCAAATATCTTTGGTGATGTACACAGATTATGCTGGCCCCGGCCATGGACCATCTGCAGTCTAAGGCCTGGGCAGAGGCTGGGCACCAACTCAGCTCGGCCTGGCACAACCTGGCAGACGTTCAGTCACAGGGCAACCAGTTTCTTGTGGTATCCACAGCAGACATCACTAATCAATATCCGAGCCTCAGAGTCCTTATCAAGACAGACAGCCACTCCCAATCAACCAAATCGGCCCCTGGCTGCCCTTACTTAGAGATTTATCACCAACCTAGGCAATGATCCTTAGGAAATCTGTTGCTCTTAGGCAGGCACTTTTCCTGCTTTTCTCTTCCTCTCTCAACGGCCTTTTTAAACCTGTTCCCCTTCTGTGCCGTCTCCCGTCGCCCACTAAGACGCCCGGGGAAGTGCTGACGGCACAAGCCAGCCTGCGGCGGCATTTGCTGTCCTGGAGCTCCAGCACAAACCCCCACGTTGCCAGTGTCTGGGAGCTACCCGCCCCCTCAGTGACCAGGCCTGATGATGTGGAGGGACCCTGGTCCAGTGAGGCCCCGATGGGCAGCCGATGGCCCAGGGGCCCTGCAGGGCCTCTGCCAGTACTCACCGAGCAGCCCCGGGTTGGGGAACCTCCAGGAGTCGTTGTACGAGGGATACTGAGGGTGGCTGTAGGGGCTCCCGGAAAACTCACTCCCTGCATGTGGTGGGTGGGAGAGAAATAGGAACCGAATGTCAAGTCAGGTTTGGAAAATGCCACTGGCACTTGTGTCCCTCACAAACGGCGGGTACTTTGTTTAACTAATAAAGGCAAGTCCGGTTTGCCCCCATATCAAGAGGACAGCTGTCATTGGCATTGTCTGCATTGCCCCTTAGAACTTTATTCATCGGAGTGAATGCCAGGTGATGCTAGTGGTAAAGAATCTGCCTCCCAATGCAGGAGAGGCAAGAGCCACAGGTTCGATCCCTGGGTCAGGAAGATCCTCTGGAGGAGGGCATGGCAACCCACTCCAGTGTTCTTGCCTGGAGAATCCCATGAACAGAGGTGCCTGGCGGGCTACAGTCCGTGGGTCGCAAAGAGTCGGACACGACTGAAGCGGATTAGCACCCATGCACATATTTCCCCTTAGAACATTTTCTTATTCTGGGAGTGAATACCAGTCTCTCACACATGTACCACTGAATTACCACATGCCAGGTATTCCCTAGGGTAGTTGGCCCATTTTGCACATGAGAAAACTGACGCCCAGGGTCTCTCACAATACAGCCTGGAATCACCCAACCCAAGCTCAAAGGCCCACACTGTTTGTTTCTCAGACCTCAGCCCTGACTGAGGCCACTCCAGGACCACAGTGTGGATGCAGTGCCACTTCCCATGTGTTTCCTGAGTGGCTCTGGACTGGAAGGCCAAAGATGACCCCAACTCTGGTCTAGCCTTCCGGGCTGTGAATCCGGAGGTGGCTGCTCCCCAGGCCTCTCTCCAACAAGGAAGATGAGACATAAATTCAGACCCTCTGCTAGGAGGAGGCGGAGGGCACTTTGCTGACATGAAGGGACGAGGCAAAGGGCTGGGGGAGCACAGAAGAGCGCGGGGTTGGGGCCTCTGGGCCTGGGGGAGGGGCAGGAGCTGCAGGCCGCGCCGGGTGGGACAGCACTGGGCGTGGGGGCCAGTGTGGAGCCTGAGGACCGTTCACTCCCGCCCAGCGGCTCTCGGAGCCATGACGCTTGCCTTTGGCACTTCCCTCCCTTCCAGCCGCAGGAGGGCCTCTAGACCACTGGGCAGTCACAGGAGAGGAGCCCAGAATCCCCGTGGCTCTGTAACAGGACAGGCGCTGCCTGTCGGCTCCCTGCGGCTGTGCCTGTTAGCTGGTTTTATGGGCAGCTGGCTATTGAGCGGCTTTTTAGGCCGCTGGTTACAGAGCATGTGGGCCCCTCCCTGGCAGTGGTGACAAGAGTCTCCCAGCCCCGTGAGACCACCCTCGGCACCGCCCATGCTCCCATGGACCCTTTTAGATGCCAAAGGGCTGAAAGGCAGGAGCCTCTAGAAGGGCCACCAGCCCCAAGTCAGGACTTGGAGCACCGCTCTTCCCTGGGAGGCCTCAGCTGACATCTTAGGGCCCCTGGGGCTGCACCAGGTACAGTGGGAACGAAACAGCAGGGCTGAGAGCCAGCCGCTTCCGGCCCTCGGGCCCGGCTGGCCTCCTCCCCACTTCCACCAGCAACCGCAGGCAGAATGTGTGCGTGCGCGCACACACACACACGCACACATGTGCTCCTCCTCGGGGCTCTCTGGGGGCCACTCCCAGCCTGACAGGCTGAGCCTTCCAATTCTCTGTTTTTTATGCCTCAGTGGTCAGGGTGTCAGGTTCCGGCGAACGAGGGAGAGCGTGGTGACAGTGCGGGGCCGCGAGAGCTCAGCCCCTGGCGTATCCGTCAGCGCCACGGCACCTCCTCCTCCTCCTGGGGGGTCCGGTGGGGGAACAGAGAGACCGGGTTGCCTGGAGAAGGGGGACAGCTGCACTTCCCCTGGGGCTCTGGGCACCCTCAGAGCTGCCCCATCAGAGGTGCTTCCTGACAGCACTGCGCCTGGCCCTGGGGCATGGGGCTATACCGGCTAAGGCTGTCTCGGCATCTCCATCGAGCAGCACCGGGCCCATCTGCCAGGCCCAGCTCCAAGGCCACCTCTTCCAGGAAGCCTCCTTGATCTCCAGCCCCTCAAAGTACAAGCCTTGGGCCTACCCAGCTGGAGCTACTTAGTTAACTGTGTCCTGTTTTCCATCCTGCATCCTCCCCTCAACTTTGTCCCCAAATTGGCAACAGGCCGTAAACAGTTCTGACTCCTCTAGAGGATGTGCCTAAGTCAGTGCTGCTCACCATCCTCCACCACGTCCCCACCTGCCTGACCTTCTAGAATCTCACTCCGATACCTCTTCCTCTGGGAAGCCCCCCTCAATCCCTTCTGGGGGTGCACTCCATCTCCCACTGAGCCCAACACCAGGTTTACCCTGCGACATGGGAGTGTCCGTCTCCAGGTCAGTGTGACTCCGCTCAGCACCCACATGCCACCCACCCCCCGTGTGACAGCCCGTCCACAGCAGTCAGCGCCCCGGGAACCACCCCTAGCTCCCCACCTCCGCCGTGACACTGCGCTCTCGTCTGCACGGCTCTCTCCCTCACCTCCTTCCAGGCTCTACTCCAAGTCATTTCTAAACCATTAAATTTCCCATGGAAACAACTTCCACTTTCCCTGCTGAACTTTTCTCCATGGAACTGATCGCAAGCTAACATATCTTACTAACTGTGCTCATCTTTCTTGTTAATCCTATGTCCTCCATAAGGAGATAAGCTCCCCGGGGCCAGGGAGTGTATGCTTGCATCCCCATGTCTAGCAGGCCCTGAAAACCATTCGTTAAATGAGTGAAGGAGTGGGAACTCCTCCGTCTACCAGAGACGACTCTCAAGGCTTCCATCATTAACACCAATAGCCAGGGGTTTATTGAACACCTGCTATGTGCTAAGATTCAAACCAGTTTATTGATCCATTGCCCAGGTTCCATCCACCATGCCGTCCTGCTCCCTGGTGGAAGAAATGAACCTCCAGGGACCTACCCCGCCTGGCATGTTTAGAGCAGTGGCGTGGTGGCACCCTCAGTGGGCCGCTGTCCTGTGAGATGCCCCGTGAGAGTGCGCCCTCTGGGTGAAGGGAGCTTGACCATCTCTGGGGCAAGAGGTCGACCTCAGGGCTGGTCCAGCCACATGCTGGGGCATCTGGATGAAGTGCCACACAGGCAGCTGGCAGGGCGTGGGCGGTCCTCACCCACGAGAGGTGGGGGTGGGGTGGGGGGTGGGGCAGGTCCTCAGTTGCTGAGGAAGATGCCTATCTGTAGACCTGGCCTAGCTCAGCCATAAGGATGGCTGGGGAGCAGCAGACCACCCAGACTCGAGCCCACATGATGCCACTGAACCCGGCAGTCCTCAGTCAGTTTGGCACAGAAGCTGAGAGCAAGGGTTCTGGAGCCAGACTGCTGCTGTGGCTGCTAAGTCGCTTCAGTCGTGTCCGACTCTGTGCGACCCCATAGACGGCAGCCCACCAGGCTCCCCCGTCCCTGGGATTCTCCAGGCAAGAGCACTGGAGTGGGTTGCCATTTCCTTCTCCAATGCATGAAAGTGAAAAGTGAAAGTGAAGTCGCTCAGTCGTGTCCGACTCTTAGCGACCCCATGGACTGCAGCCTACCAGGCTCCTCCGTCCATGGGATTTTCCAGGCAAGAGTACTGGAGTGGGGTGCCATTGCCTTCTCCGGGTGGAGCCAGACAGCTGGAGCCCAAATCCTGCATCTGCCTATTCCTAGCTCAACAGGTTGACCATCAGCAGGATGCTCAACCTCTCTGGGCCTGTTTTCTCCTCAGCAGTCGGGACAATAGATCCCACTGCCCATGGTCACTGCAGAGACTGAATGATGATACACAGCGTCCGGCACGCAGTGACTGCTCAGCAAATGTCAGCCACAAGGACCACGACCTGACATCAGTTACCAAGGCTTCCTCTGCATCTAGAATCTCACTTAACTTTCCTGACAGTCCTGTGAAGTTCCTAAGATGGGTGCATCTTTCTGCATTTTATATGAGCAAGTGGAGGCTCAGGAAGGTGGGGGGACTTGTCTAGGGTGGGGGGCAACTCCAAGTCCAGCCTCCTGTCTCCCAGCCCAGGACCCTCTGTCCATGTGACACCATGACACTGCCTTCCCACCCCAGGGCCTCTGTCTTCCGTTTGCACAAGGGCAGGTGAGACCCAGTGATGTCCAAAGGCCCTTCCTGTCTTCTGAGCCTGAATTTCACTTCTCAGGTGCCATGGTGCTCCCAGCAGGGAGGGAGGCTCTGTGGGCTGCACCAGATGATGACTTCCTTTGGGACTAGGGGTTTCAATCTCCTGCTGACTCTCCCTTGCTTAAATTCACTACCATCACAGTACCCAAGGAGCATTCACCTTCTTTCCTTTAAATCTTAGGACTGCAGCTTAGAAAAGTGAGTCTGGTCCAGCCAAGAGAAGTTCCAGGAAAGCACTAGGGACGCTTTTTGCGGGGAGAGGAGCATATGAGCAGGAGAGGTAGGGGTTTGGTGTGTAGACGGAGACAGGGCATTCCGGGCACAAGTGAGGTCTGGAGTTGGGGGGTCAGAGTGTGTCCCACTTCTGGCTCATGGTTGGGGTCCCGGAGAGGCGGCCAGATGGCCCAAGATGGACAGACTTCTCACCATGACACTTCTCTTACGACCGAGGATACCACGGGGCTCTCACCTCCTTCTGCTAACTGATCCGTGCTTTGGGCTTCTCTCAAAAATACCAGCCCGTTTAAAATGGGCAACCTGTTCTTGATGCATTAACAGAGAAGCTCCTGTGACGCCCAGCGGGGGTGCCGGCCCCCGCCCAGCAGCTGTCACGCAGCAGGCAGCAAGACCTCCATCTGAGGAATCACAGCACACAGGCCCTCCTCGGAGATGGCTCCTGGGCCGTCTGCCTGTGCACCCCCAGAAGCCCCCAAGAACTCTCAACAACGAAACATGCGTCATCATCTCCTCCATCTCCAGCACCCCCAGGAGCGAGCAGACCTGAGGAGAAAGCAAGACTGGACCTTCTGCGACAAGGCCTGGGATCGGCCCTGGGAGCTGGACCCCCACACTGGGGCCCACACACGGCCAGTG